CCGTATTCGTCTAAGGGCGAGTTGTTGCTGACGAGCGAGGCGGGGGCATGTTCGAAAATAAAACACAGAGAACATAAATATAAATACATAGATGAGGTCGCCAAGACAATAATACAAAATGAATAATACAAAACAATTTAAATAATTCGAATACAAAAAATGGCGCGTGAGTGCGCGATCGAACGCGGGACAAAAAGCACGCAGAGAAGTCGTGGGGCTCGGAGCGGCGGTTGCGGCGCGACGCTTTGCGTTCGAGCGCGGCGCGTAAAAAAACGAGTCTATGGCGGCCGACGGCGCGCGCCGTAGCCGTCTAAGGGCGAGTTGTTGCTGCCGAGCGAGGCGGGGGCAAGTTCGATAATAAAACACAGAGAACATAAATATAAATACATAGATGAGGTCGCCAAGACAATAATACAAAATGCATAGTACAAAACAATTTAAATAATTCGAATAAAAAAAATGGCGCGTGAGTGCGCGAACGAACGCGGGACAAAAAGCACGCGGAGAAGTCGCTGGGCTCGGAGCGGCGGTTGCGCCGCGACGCTTTGCGTTCGAGCGCGGTGTGTAAAGAAAACGATTCCACGGCGGCCGACAGCGCACGCCGCATCCGTCGAATGGAGAGTTGTTGCTTACAAGAGAGGCGGTGGCAGGTTCGATAATAAAACACAGATAACATAAATATAAATACATAGATGAGGTCGCCAAGACAATAATACAAATAAAATGTGACGTACGCAGTACGGAAAATACAAAAAAAGGCGCGTGAGTGCTCGAACGAACGCCGGACAAAAAGCACTCGGAGAAGTCGTGGGGCTCGGAGCGGCGGTTGCGGCGCGACGCTTTGCGTTCGAGCGCGGCGCGTAAAAAAAACGATTCCACGGCGGCCGACAGCGCACGCCGCATCCGTCGAATGGAGAGTTGTTGCTTACAAGAGAGGCGGTGGCAGGTTCGATAATAAAACACAGATAACATAAATATAAATACATAGATGAGGTCGCCAAGACAATAATACAAATAAAATGTGACGTACGCAGTACGGAAAATACAAAAAAAGGCGCGTGAGTGCTCGAACGAACGCCGGACAAAAAGCACTCGGAGAAGTCGTGGGGCTCGGAGCGGCGGTTGCGGCGCGACGCTTTGCGTTCGAGCGCGGCGCGTAAAAAAACGAGTCTATGGCGGCCGACGGCGCGCGCCGTATCCGTCTAAGGGCGAGTTGTTGCTGCCGAGCGAGGCGGGGGCAAGTTCGATAATAAAACACAGAGAACATAAATATAAATACATAGATGAGGTCGCCAAGACAATAATACAAATAAAATGTCACGTACGCAGTACGGAAAATACAAAAAAAGGCGCGTGAGTGCTCGAACGAACGCCGGACAAAAAGCACGCGGAGAAGTCGTGGGGCTCGGAGAGGCGGTTGCGGCGCGACGCTTTGCGTTCGAGCGCGGCGCGTAAAAAAACGAGTCTATGGCGGCCGACGGCGCGCGCCGTATCCGTCTAAGGGCGAGTTGTTGCTGCCGAGCGAGGCGGGGGCAAGTTCGATAATAAAACACAGAGAACATAAATATAAATACATAGATGAGGTCGCCAAGACAATAATACAAATAAAATGTGACGTACGCAGTACGGAAAATACAAAAAAAGGCTCGTGAGTGCTCGAACGAACGCGGTACAAAAAGCGCGCGGAGAAGTCGCTGGGCTCGGAGCGGCGGTTGCGGCGCGACGCTTTGCGTTCGAGCGCGGCGCGTAAAGAAAACGAGTCTATGGCGGCCGACGGCGCGCGCGGTAGCCGTCTAAGGGCGAGTTGTTGCTGACGAGCGAGGCGGGTTCAAGTTCGATAATAAAACACAGAGAACATAAATATAAATACATAGATGAGGTCGCCAAGACAATAATACAAAATGCATAGTACAAAACAATTTAAATAAATCGAATACAAAAAAATGGCACGTGAGTGCGCGAACGAACGCGTTACAAAAAGCACGCGGAGAAGTCGTGGGGCCCGGAGCGGCGGTTGCTGCGCGACGCTGGGCGTTCGAGCGCGGCGCGTAAAGAAAACGAGTCTATGGCGGCCGACAGCGCACGCCGCATCCGTCGAATGGCGAGTTGTTGCTTACAAGCGAGGCGGGGGCATGATCGATAATAAAACACAGAGAACATAAATATAAATACATAGATGAGGTCGCCAAGACAATAATACAAAATGAATAATACAAAACTATTTAAATAATAATTATTTAAATAGTTTTCGAATTATTCGAATACAAAAAATGGCGCGTGAGTGCGCGAACGAACGCGGGACAAAAAGCGAGCGGAGAAGTCGCTGGGCTCGGAGCGGCGGATGCGGCGCGACGCTTTGCGTTCGAGCGCGGCGCGTAAAGAAAACGAGTCTATGGCGGCCGACGGCGCACGCCGCATCCGTCGAATGGCGAGTTGTTGCTTACAAGCGAGGCGGGGGCATGATCGATAATAAAACACAGAGAACATAAATATAAATAAATAGATGATTTCGCCAAGACAATAATACAAATAAAATGTGACGTACGCAGTACGGAAAATACAAAAAAAGGCGCGTGAGTGCTGGAACGAACGCGGGACAAATAGCGCGCGTAGAAGTCGCGGGGCTCGGAGCGGCGGTTGCGGTGGGACGCTTTGCGTTCGAGCGCGGCGCGTAAAGAAAACGAGTCCACGGCGGCCGACAGCGCACGCCGCATCCGTCGAATGGCGAGTTGTTGCATACAAGCGAGGCGGGGGCAAGTTCGATAATAAAAGTTAAAACACAGAGAACATAAATATAAATACATAGATGAGGTCGCCAAGACAATAATACAAAATGAATAGTACAAAACAATTTAAATAATTCGAATACAAAAAATGGCGCGTGAGTGCGCGAACGAACGCGGGACAAAAAGCGCTCGGAGAAGTCGCGGGACTCGGAGCGGCGGTTGCGGCGCGACGCTTTGCGTTCGAGCGCGGCGCGTAAAGAAAACGAGTGTACGGCGGCCGACGGCGCGCGCCGTAGCCGTCGGAGCGCCAGTACTTGCTTACAAGCGAGGTGGGGGCAAGTTCGATAATAAAACACAGAGAACATAAATATAAATACATTGATGAGGTCCCAAAGAAATTAATAAAAAAATTAATAATATATTACAATTTAAATAATTCGAATACAAAAGATAGCGGGCGTCGCGTAATGCCAATGCGCGGTGCGCGAGTGGTGATAAGACCCCGGCCAGATCAATAAACGTATAATGGTAGTGATAACACGATCCTCCGTGCTGCCCCGATTGTCTCGTCGTCTGTAGTCTGTTGTGTTGTGTTGTGATACTTTACTTATATCGATAATATCGGAACGTCCCTAGTTGTGTTGGTGGTGGGTGGATACATTAGGTATTTTTTTTTTCCTTCCACTTTAGTACTTGACGCCACGGCCACGGTTTTTTTTTGTATAACGCCTACGCTATTTGCCACTGTTGTACACTGTAATTGTGTACTCGTACTAGTATCGTCGCTACAATATCGGTGTCTGTTATTCGGAACTCGACTTCATAAGGACCGTTGTTGGTACCTATTCGATGTTCGTCCAGTCCACAGATTAGTATAGCCCCACTCACCGGATCTCCAACGGTTCGTGGCTCACCTACCTGTTACTGGTGTATATGTTTTCAGTCAGATGTCTCGAGGTCTCAATCTCCTGGAACTAGACGCTCTCGGCTTCGACGACTCGCAAGACCTCCGCTTGAAGGTAATATTATTTTTGTGGAAGTATCGGCCGTGTACAACGGTAGGAGTTCAAGTACTGAAAATCGATTTTTGTTACTTTCGTTTTATGTTTTGCTACCCTAGACTAAACAGACTCACCCCCTTGTCGTGTAAGGCCAAGGGAGTCGTCACCGTATCAAACATACAATATAATGACTACAATATTGTTGTTTCTTGTCCCAAATGTAATATTGCTATGGCCTGTTAGTCAATGCACTAAAAATGTATTGATTTTGCTCCTCAGCACCTGTGCTAAACTGTGAAGTAAAAAACCTTTGATTATTTAACTACCTACGTAATTATAACTTCTAAATGTATAAAAAAAATCATAAGTTTATCCTACATTTTTCATTTTAATTCATAAACTAAACTTATTAATATTTTTTATTCCAAACTAAATTGAATAAGTACCTACCTAAATATATTTGTATGATTTTGTTGCCATTTTCACATGAATTTGTCTAATAATATTTTTGAATTGTAGAAATTGATTTTTGACATTTATATCGAGCACTTGGGTAAAAAAAATATTTAAAGTTCATTTTAATGATAATACATACTATATGAAACATGAACAAACAAAGAACAAATTAATACGTTCTGTGATGTTTTATCGATAAATCAGTTTGATTATTTGTGATAAACACCTACGCCTAATAATAATAGTATGTTTTTTCTGTAGAATTATTAGATTAATAAATATCAATAAATAAACTTATTATTTAATATTTATACAATGTATATTTTATCATTATGGACGGCAGGAAGATAACAAACCTGAGTGGCAGGGCTATAAACTTTTCACTCGCTCTGGCGAAGCTATAACAAACCAGTACCAAAATTAATAATAGTATTATGATGAGATTATTTTTTTCCTGTAATTTTGTTATGAAATTGTGATCTTAAAGATTCTGAAAATTAATAGCAAAACGTATTAGTGCAAAACCAGCCACCACTGCCATAGTCCAAGGTCCAGTCATGTATAATAATTAATTACAGATGAGTAAAATAAGTGTAGGTACAATAAAAATTGCCGATACACCTTAGTATTTTGAAATTCTTTTCCTATAATTGGTACAGAATTTGGTAAATAGACCTATAGTATACCATCTAATTATGATGATTTAATTTAATTGTAATACTTCCTAATTTAATATTGTTATATTTTAGGTGACGATATTCAAGGTTATCAGTATATCATAAATATTGAAAATTTCAAACAACAGCAACAGCAAACTATGTCTAATTCAGCAACTTGTGTAACACCTGTAAGCTTTTAGAATTATTTTTAAATTAAAATCATTATTTATTTTATAACTTATTTAATATTAAGTATCTACCTACCTATCTATACTTTGTGATAAACATACAATACTAGTATCGTTAAGATGTATGTATAAAGTTGGTACTAATTGCATTAGCATTAACTATTTAATATATTTTATGGGTATATAAACAAAATAGTGCATAATTTAATAATTGTAATTTTTGAAATAAATGTATATCTTATGAAGAATATTCACATCAGTAAATCAAATTATTATATGATAAGATAAATTTTACTTAATGATAAAAATAATTCAAGAGACAATCAAAACCTAATAATAATATTATTGAGTTATTAATTTATTTATTTTAGGGCATGTATTAGTAAAGTAGTTTTCAGGGCCTAACCTCTGTTGCTTATTTTTTAGTAACCAAAAACTACAATCACTTTTTTTTTGTTTATTCAAATAATAGATAATATACATTTACTCACCCTATTTATACTTTTTTAACTTAAATATTCTAAATGCTTATTGATATTAAATGTGTAAAGTTTTTCACTCAGTTAACCATTATTTATTAATTATCTTTTTGTTTTTCTTTCTTCAAAAATGATAATGATGATAATAATAATAATATTAATTATTTTATTGTATTTAATATAGTAACTATATTTACTTTTATTTTTAGAAAACAACTACTCCAATGAAAAATCATATTCAACAACAATCCATGCTCTTGCACGATGCACCATCACAATCAACCGGTCCTAAACCTGTAGTTGAAACTCAAATACTGACAGCCTCAGTTGCTCAAACATCTCCAGTTAAAGATTTGGAGGTATATTGCTATGTTTTTACATTTAACGATTGCAATGGTCACATACTCATATTTACATATATATACATCAAATCACTATTATCGCCATAATTAAAAACTTATGTTTTATTAACCAATTTATTTACCATTGCCTTGAGCGGTATTACATTTTTTATAGTGAATACTAGTTACATTTATATATTTAAAACAAAAGGTTTATATAAAATGACACCAAACTATTAATATGTGTATTGATTCAAAAACGAATTGCTATAACATTGCACAAGAACTTGTCTATATATACTGGCAGATTTAAGTTTTCCACATATTTTAAAATTACAGTATATCTATTTCAGTCTTAGTGCAGATTTGATCAGTCCATATAATTTTTGCAAATATTATTGCATAAATGCGAGACAGCTAAACTTAAAATTTGTTGCGATGTTGTAAATTCAGATTGGTATGACAAGCAATTACTTGTTGCCAATAATATATATTATTTGTATATAAATATACAATTCCTAATTTGATTACCTAATATTGATATAATTAAACTATTCAAAAGAAAAAATAATTTGTGTATTTTTAGTAACACTAGACTATTAATTAAGCTTAATAAAGTTGAATATAAAAATTAATAATATTTTTATAATAAATTTACCTATATTAAATCAACTAAAAATTGTAATTGATTGTGATTGGCAACTTGTAAATCCAACCATTAATTTGATGGTACTTATCATACCATCTGACAAGTAGGATTTTGTATATACACAAATGTCGTGTTTATTTACAGTCCAAATCAGTGGGATTTGTCATAATTTGTGATGGATTGTGTCAAATGTTTTTTGGTAATTAAATAGACCTTGGCAGATTAAATACAGTCCTCTTGTAATAATAATAATAATGATAATTATAGTTAATACAATTAAAATATTATTACCTATTTTGATGTGTTATCTGCTAAAGTATGTGTCTTTCCCTAACTGAAAATACTTCTTCACCGCGTTTATAAAAATTGATTATGTTGTCTTGTTGTCTTTATAGAATAAACGGATAAACCTTGAAGATGAAAAATCAAATAAAAAGATGTCAGAAGTAAAATGGCCGGTCAGACAAAGTATGCAATTTCTTTTAAATTAAGTTACTGTCATTTATATCAATTGATTATTTAAAATTTAAAATTTATGTTTGTGTTAGAAAGTAGTAAGAAAGAACGGAAAAAGCGCCTGAATGCCAGAATGCGTCGTTTAGTATCTCCTAAAAGTCCATTAACGGTAGTCTCCGAGTTGTTTAATGATGTACCAATTCACTTTGAGGATCAATCAATAAATAATGTTACGGGTTACACTGTTACACTTCAGGTAAGATAAATGTTGAGATATAATTGAATGAATTAGAAGACTTAATTTTATTTCTTGTGTATTACTATAATAATTTATAATTTATAATTTAAAAAACAATGTAGGTTGATGGTCAGGTGTATACTGGAAAACACATTTCCAAGATTCGAGCCAAACAAAAAGCATGTGAACGTTTCTTGCGCAATATGTTGGCTAAAAAAATAAGTGAAGAATCGGGTAGGTTAAAATTGTTGAACTAGTTAACTTTTAATATTGGTCATATAGTATATACATATATGTATATGAATACTTTCATTATATTTAATTAGAAAAAAAAGAAGAATCTCCCATTGGAATAGATATGAAAGATGAAAAAAATGGTACTTTGCCAAATCCTAAAGTACCACAGGAGGATTTCCCGTGGCTACATTTTGCTTCATTAGCTATGCATAACTTGATACATTGCTGGAAACTACAGCCTGTTCCAAAAATTATTAATTTACAAGAAGAACAACCAAAATTGAAGGTGAATAATCAATTACTACTTAAATTATATTTACTGATATCAACTTGTAACTAAATAATTATTAATTTAAAATTCAGTATTCATTATTACATCCAATTTTTTGTATAATGGAATAGGTTTTTTTTAAATTTTAAAATTTAAAGTTACTAATATTACAAAATTAAATATTTCATAGGCCAAAATAATATATCATTGTATTTTATAATTTGTCAATATAAGTTGTTGACAATGGTAGCAATTTCAATACTAATTCGAGGTCGTATATTATTCATATTTTGTGTCACCTTTGATTTTTGAGTTGATACACACAAGTACACTACACCATATTATAGTTTTATAATTTATATCTTAAGCCATTTTATTATAGATTGGTGCTATGAGAAAGTTTCCCGAGGACCCAAAAAACTGCAATCCAGTACAGATAATAAATCAAATGAAGCCCGGTGTCAAATTTATTGAAACTATTATAAGTTTAAACCCGCCATCAGCTTTCCGAGTGAAATGTGAAATAGACAACATTCCATTCACTGGACTAGGTAATGTTTTTGTAACAATATTATGTTACAATTTTACTTGTTGAACTTATTTTGAATTGAAAATAGACTTAGAAATTCCATTTAATATAAACTGATCAGTAAATCACTTTTGAAAAGTAATAAAAATATATTACTCGCTGCATTAAATATTTTTATTTAAATTTCATTCACATTACCCTACCTTATTTTTATCATGTTACTTAACTTTTTCATTCCAAATGTAGGGCGTTACAAATAACGTTATTTTTTTAAAAAATAATTATAAAACCAGTACATAATGACTTAATGTTATCCATGGACAAAATGTATAAGTATTAATTCCTGGAATCTTAAATAATATTGTTATTTATTATAAAAACTTTTGGAATTGTAAATAAATGTTATTGGTTGGTAATTTTTCTAATAACGTGGAAAATAACACGTTTCCATAGAAATTACTTTTAAAAAGTAATTTTGTTACAATTGTGTTAATTTAAATAAAAAATAATTAAATTAGTACAGAGTTACTGCAAAAGTAATTTCGTTACAGTTATTTGTAATTTGCTTAACATTACTACCCAACCCTTCTGATAGTATGATATATGATTTTTTTTTTTATTTAATCAGTAATCACTTCACAATATAAAACAAAAATTAATATAATTATATGCCAATATATTATACCTTAAACGTCGGATTAGCTTTACAAATAAATTTTAAAAAACCAAAACTAGTTTTAATTTTGAAAAAAAAATTGTATTCACATAAAAACCTAAAAAATAAATTTAAAAAAACATTAATAAATAATAATAAATATCGTTTATTTTTACTAAAAATCATTTCTAATTTTATATTTTATAGGATCATCAAAAAAAGCAGCTAAGAGGGAATGTTGTATTGCAGCAATCAAATATTTTTGGCAATTTGATTTCCATGCTATATGAGAAAATTTAGTCACTTAAGTTAATTATATTTAGTTAATTTTGAAATAAATCATTTTTAGAAGATAATGTTATTTATATTTATTCCAACAGTAAATTATTATCAAAATAATATCAACAGAATGCGTGGACTTCGATTATTTCTATTTAAGATTCTGAGTGAAGCAAAAGAAGATATTGATTTTATAATGTTGTGTGTTATTTTTTCTGTCTTACATCAACATTTGTCAATTTGGGGCTCCTAGTATAAATACTCAGAATTTCTATTTGGAAAATAAAAAACTTATTTCCTGATAGGAAAGTGAATCTAGTTGGTGTATTCGGGAGGTCAAAAATTAAAATTCCTTGTACTTTTCGAAAGAAAATCGGGAAAATTAAAAAAAAAATTCAGAAAAAATGTGAATTTTGATGCAATAGGTAAAATAGGTAAATAAGTAACATATTATTTATAGAAATTCATTTAAATTATAATATTATAATATCATTGTTTTATCTGCATTTTCTCAAATATATGAATTCTAAGCAGTAGAGTAGTGTACCTACGTTGGATTGTAAACTATCATAATAATATAAACACAATGGCAACGAAAGTTGGTGCATTTCGTTTATGCGTGAAAAACTGAACAAATGGTAAAAAAATATTTGTTGTAAATTTTGAGGTTCATTTTTATTATGTATAACTAGAGTGGAGGGCTCTTAAAAGTTTAAAAAATAAGATAGACACATAGCTTATTGATGGATAGATTCGAATGAGCTCTAAATGAAACCTAAAATTAATATGATTTTCATTTTGCTTTAAATAAATTAAAAATCTTTATGTTAGCGACAATGTGTATATAATCGGTATTCTCTAAAATGTCTAAGAACTCTATATAATACCAAATACGGCCGGCAATCTATTAAAGTGTTTAAATTACCAAAGCATTATATGAAATTCCAAATAAAGTCAAAATATATTTTATAAAGGTGTCGGTGCCGGTGATTTATTAAGGAGTAAAATGTAGGCAATTCAATTCACATATTGTATCGGGCTCTCGCGGAACGTGCATGTATGAGTATGTAAATCGATATTTGTGTTAGTGAGCTACAATTACACACACAGATAAAGATATTAACATTATTAACGCACACCCATGCACAAGTCAGTGATTGACTATTTTGATGAACAAAAATGCTTTTTATATCTTGCACTAATGATTAACGAGATACGCCCTTTTACCACTAGAAAAAGCGTATTAAGTTTTATGAGATTGGCCATATAACTCATTTTCGCCAAAAAGTGAGATTGGCCCTTTTAGACCCAAGCCACAGATATTTAAGCTGTGTTACTGTGTGAGAAGTAAATGAATATTAGTGTGTGTAATTTGTAAAATTCATAATCGCGTTCTCGTTTCACCAAACGGCTCACCGCCCGCATATCGACCACATTACCTACGTATTTCCGGAACTAACGGAATACGCTGATAATAGTATAGAATATAGATACTTTTCAGGTATCTGTGATTACAATTAGTGATTCACTGATTTTGCATATAGTAGGGATACAATATGATTTTAGATTCTGTGTGAAACGATGAATGTATTGATTTTACAATGATGTGTGTTTTTATATTTTTTTTTAAATTTTTTTAAATTTTTTTATTTTTGTGTGTACACGATAAGTAGTCGAAATAATGCTTCGGTTTTCGACTTCAGTATCTTGTTCAATTGGAAAGTGAATATCGTTGGTGCATTGGGGAGATCAAAATTTAAAATTCAAAGAACTTTTCAAAAGCGCCAAGAAAAACAAAAGAAAAATTAAGGAAAAACGGGAATTTTTACGCAAAATCGATTTTTCAGAAAATTGAATTTGGTTTTTGGTGTAACGTTAAAACAAGTGACCGTAGATACATGAAATTTTCACTGGTTGTTTATATTTCCATTTTCTATACACGATAACATTTTCAAAATATTTTGATTTATTTTGAACTGTTTAGGGACATTTTCATTTTTCATTTTTTTTAGTTTTTTTTTCTAGAAATATCAATAAAATTTTATTTGTTGGTTAAAAAAACTTGAAAATTGAATAGAAGGCTCCTACTATATTGTTTCAAAGGCAGATGAAAAATATTAAAAATATATTGGCACAGTTTTTTTTTATAAGCATTTAAAGATCGAATTTTGACAAAATTTATCAAAACCTCGAAAATTATCAATCATTGTAATTAATAAATTATAAAATGTTCAGTTTTTATAGCTAAGGATTGCAAATTTAAAACAAAGGTTCTCATAAATAGTTCATACTTTAACCAAAAAATCTAAAAAATATATGAACACAATTATTTTTTACAGACATTTTAAATTCAAATTTGGACGAAATTAGATATTAAAAAACCTAGAATAACTATTTTAGTTATTTTGTTGTGATTGAATAATATTATTTGTGGGTACTTGAAACTTCTAAACTCTAAAGTGTACTATTATAATAAATATCTATGATAGTATCACGGTTTTTGTTGATGTATAGCGCGTTATAAGTACCCAATGGATATTGTGATAAGTTTAATTTGGAATTTATTATAGGTAGGTAACTATTATAGGTCAAATTTTGGTTTAGTACCATAGATATGTATATAATAATATAAGAAAGTATAAAACTAGCTAGCACGTCCCTGGCCTGATAGCGGCCCGCTAAAGATAAAGGAGGAACAAATGCCCACCCTGCTCCCCAAATGACAACACTCAAGTGTGATATCTATATTTGTGTAATCCTGAGTTTCTTTTAATACGATTTGAATAAATGTATACAACAGTGCAATAATCCATATAGCCTATATGCGGCGAAGGTCAATCATTCGCTTGATCCGTATTAATTTTATTATATTTTTTATCTGTAATCGTATTCACGTCATCTGTAAAATGAAAGAGTTTAAGTATCTACATAATAATTATTTAATTATTCAATTATTGATGATAAACGATGACAGTAAATATCAAAGTAAATGGATACAAATATTGTCATTCTGTACAACTGTTAACACCAGTAATAACTTACATTCTCGTTGGAATTTTATTACGGCTTTATATTTTTTTAATTGTTTTTTTAACGTGAAAATGGAACAACCTAAAAAACCAACTCGTCGCTTCCCGTCAAAAAAATTATCAGTTAAAAAATCACTATGCTCTCGAGTGATGAATGTTCTAGGAATTCGTGCCAAAACTAAGTATAACTATTTATTGCAGTATTATTATCAAATATTATTATTAATTTCACTAAAATTGTGTTAACGAAGTCCCAATCCAGATGTCGAAGAAGTTTTTGCGGAACCTTTTTTCTTAGGTGCTGACAACCAACCACCATGCTCATCGAGGGAAACGATTAGGTAAATTTTAAAAATTTATAGCCGTTTCATTGTATGATAACTTAAACCAATTATTTTTATTTTTTATTTATAATACCTACATATGTTTTTTTAAATATTTTTAGCAAAATGATGGATTCCAAGGACAATGAAGATAATGATTGGGGTACCGAAGAAGTTGTACATAACTTGACAGTTAATAAATCTATATAAAATGATCAAGAAACCAAGTATAATGATTTTTAATTTAAAATTTGATTGAATAGATTAGCCTACTAATTCGGGAATTATTATTAATTTTGAACCAAACTGGTTATAACAATTTTAAAGACTAAACATTATTATTTAAATGTTACAACAGGCCATGCGATGTAAATGAAAGGTCGGGAAGACGAATAGTAGATATACACTGAGTTTTTAGTCAAATTAAAAATAGTGTTCATCAAGGGTCATTTGGTTGTTCATTTTTGAACATGACATTTATTTCTGAAAAAAGACACGGACTTAGATCAACATTTAGGTTTCAGTGTGATATGTGTAACATTGTTATGTTTATTAACTCAGAAAAAATTAAACCTGAAACCTTTTTGCCGATAAACGATGCCGCCGTAAACGGATCAATATCAGCTGGAATTGGTTTTACACAATTATCCGAATTATGTGCGGTTATGGATATCCCTTTTATGTATCGTCCACTTTTCTCTCAGCACAAGAGTTTATTAGCAAAAGAATCCATAAAATCGCTGAGGCACAAATGAAAATTGCTGGCGATGAAGAACGTCAATTAGCAATAGAAGCTGGTGAGATAGATAGTGACGGAACCCCTATGTGCACTGTAGTTGACAATGGTCCAAGCGCAGTTATAAGACCAAATATGATGCATTATCTGGAGTGGTAATATTATATAAATCATATTATTATAATGTTATATAGTATAAATACGTGTAGATACCAGTTTTAAATTACCATTTGTATTTTTCTAGGCAACAATAATAGGTTACAAATCGAGAAAAATTTTATTTGTGGGTATTAGAAATCGATATTGTATCATTTGCCAAAGAGCCAAAAATAAGAAGTTATCTCCTCCTAAACATACATGCGTTTTATGAATTGGAAAAAAGGTGCTACTAGCATGGAAGCTGATGTCATTGCTGATGGGTTTAAGCAAAGTGTGGAACAGCACGGACTCATATACAATAAACTAATAGGTACGTTATAACGTTTTTAATATGAGTTGCAATACCGCGATATATTTATATATACATTAACATTTTTAATACATAATAATTTAACATTATAATATGAGTTATTAACATATCGTAGGGGACTTTACTATAGTTCATAAATAATGGCCCTTTCGGAATAGTTCACGATGACTGTCTGAAAATGTAGACAAATTGTCCGTGATCGCGATTATTCATTGTACCGACGTATCTTTTGTAACTGATGACATCTCTCGCGACAGTTTCCAACGAGGCGAATGCACTGACGTCACCGTGCGACAATAATTATCCCGAGGGAATCTGAAGTCATATACAGCGTGATTCACCGACCATGCTAACCACCATTTTAGATTCTGAGCCGAGCGATGAATGTATTGATTTCACGATGTTGTGTGTTTTTTTTAATTTGATTTGATTTGATTTTTGTGTCTGTGTAGGTACACGATAATATTAGTCGAAATAATTCTTCAACTTAATTTCAACTTCGACTATCTTGTTCGATTTATAAGTGAATCTAGTTGGTGCATTTGGGAGGTCAAAATCCACAGTAGTTTTCAAAACCGAATAGAAAAACAAAACAAAAAAAAAATTAAGGAAAATTGGTAATTTTTACGCAAAACCAATTTTGGTTTTTTGTGTAACAATAAACAAAACTACCTTAGATACCTACATGACATTTTCCCAGAATTTTATACTTGCACTTTCTAATTTCCATACACCATAAAATGTTCAAAATATTTTGACTTATTTTGAGCTGTTTACGGACATTATCAGTTTCCAATTTGCTTATTTTTTTTTTCTATGAATGTCAATAAAATTTTATTCGTTGAGTCAAAAAGCTTGAATATTTAATACAATAATCTTCATTTATTTTTAAAATTTCGGTTGAATAATATCTTTATACATAGTTACACATTTTTTTTATAAACATTTAAAGTTGGAATTTTGTCAAAATACGTAAAAATCACAAAAATGTGTAAATTATATTGAGTTAAACATTTTTCTTTTTTAATCTGATATTTGAAAATTGAATACAAGATTCCTTATAACTTTGTCTAACTTTCTCAAAAACAAAATATCAACCGGAAGTCAAATTAAATTTGTATGAGTGTTTGAAGTTTCTACAACATTTGATACTAACTCAATTTCTCATGTAGGAATTTTCTTATTTTGTTGTAATTGGAAAACGAATAACTGTAGATACTTGCAATGTACACCATATGTTTATGTTATCGATTCCTATACTTAATAATATTTACAAAATATTTTGACTAGTTTTGAGCTGTTTAAGGACATTTTACATTTTCATTTTTTTTAGTTTTTTTAATAGCAATTTAATTTGTTCAAATTCTAGAATTTTCTAGTACTATTTAACGAGTGTATCGTAAAGATAAAAATGTATGTTTTTCAAACGAGAAGCCTATTATTTGACTGATATTATAAAGTAAATAATTTTTTTTGAAAATATTGATGCAGGTACCTAACCTATTTAAAAATTTCAACGGGTAGTTTCTCGGTTATTAAAATGCTTGTACTAAGAATAATATTCCTCAAAAATGGTTTTAAAAAAATAAAAATAGATGTTAACATTGGGTTAAGTATTTATCAAATTTGGGTCATTTTTACAAATTATTAATATTGATGAAATATGAATGTATGATAAATTAAGTTAGTATCAAATCTAACTCGATTTATCATCTAGGAATTTTCTTATTTTGTTGTAATTGGAAAACAAATAACTGTAGATACTTGCAATTTACACCATTAATTTATGTTATCGATTCCTATACTTAATAATATTTACAAAATATTTTGAGCTGTTTAAGGACATTTAACATTTTCATTTTTTTAAATTTTTTTTGTAAGCATTTAAAAGCAATTTAATTTTTTCAAATTCTAGAATTTTTAGTACTATTTAACGAGTGTATCGTAAAGATAAAAATTTATGTTTTTCAAACGAGAACCCTACTATTTGACTGTAAATTATTAAGTATATAATTTTTTTTTTTGAAAATATTGATGTAGGTACCTATTTCAAAATTTTCATTTTTACAATTTATTAATATTGATGAAATATGAATGTATGATAAATTAATATTAATCAGTAATGACTAATATTTTCAAATTATCATAGAACCCATATCATACAAACCCATGCTTATGAATCTATTATAAAAAGTTAAATAACTCAAAAACTACATCCACGAAATCTGATTCTGATACAGTGAAATTTTCAAAAAAAAAAATTTCAACGAACTATTTTTCAGAAATAGGAATGTTGTCATTAGTAATAACTGAAGTTTGTATCTCAACAAGATACTCTTCAAGTAGGTAGTACAAAACTACAAATAATCTTAACAATTTGAAAATAGACACTTTATGTAGGTATATATTTTAATGTTTCCAAAAATCAGATTTTGATCAACTGTATTATTGAAGAAAAAACCCGGTTGAGTGTGTTTGGCAATCACCCTGTATTGTACTATTATTATTACGCTGAACAATATCCACGTTTTATTCTTTGTCGTAAGATTTTATATTGGAAACAAACAGAATGATGCTGGGAGCGATGTATACGATTAATATGGTGTCGATAATAATCTGTGAATCAGCATAAATATACTCACTTACCTGTATTAGGTTTCCATTTGTTTTTCTTATAAACTAAGATGATTGCCCGTCTATAATGTGATGGATCGTTATTATATTATTAAATGAACAATCGTATTTCGTTTCATTATTGTTAGATATTATTATTTGATGTTTTTGAATATTTTTCGCAACATTACTTTGCACGAAAGGATGAACAACTTTCCTTTGTGCACATTGCTTTAAAATATCTACTTTGATAATTGCATTTGTGTTTGATAGATATAAAAGTTGTTTGTAAAAAGATATGATACAGTTTTCCAATGGTATACATTATACATAATACATGAAGGTATCCTATATAATTTGGAAAGTACCTATATACTAAATAACTACTTCGGAGAACTCACACGTAGTTCAAAGTTTTTATTTTTAAATATCAATACCTATATAAATAATTCTTAATATCAGAACAAAAAAAAAATTGGTAATTTATCTTAAATTTATATTAAATCTATTGATATATCATTAAATATAATAATTTATTGATATAAAACCTTACGGAAATCTTAAAGATTTAAAGATATAATATTACAATATATAATTTATACAAACATTAGGAAAAAACTTTAAGCACAATATGTTATAAAAATACGTATGAAAATGAAATGAAAATTAATATTGAACTAGCCGGGAGCATATAAGATAATACGCGCGCCCGAACTCCAACGTCTGTTAACAATACCACTAACACCTAGAAGGGAGAAATTATATGAAAATAGCTGGGTGTGTAGTGGTGTAGTAGTTCAAACAGCAGTGGTCGGGGTCGCCGGGCAAATACTGTAGAAGTACGTGATGCTTGTTTTGTAATATGTGTATTTGTGTCTAAATGTGTATCTAGGTAGTGTGTGTGTGCTTAAAAATAATAGTAAATAATAAAAAAGATAGTAACACCGTTTTAGGTAAAAATAGGTTGCCGTATAATATATAACTAATTCAAAATAATACACAAAATAAAATATAACTCACAGCAACCGCAAGGTATAAATAATCTAAAAATAATATATGGCCCTTCTGGCCCAACAGAGTATAAGATAGGCTGCTACGTGAGCGCGTATAAACAATTAATATAGATATAATACAGGGCCCTTGAGCCTTTCTGGCTCAACAGAATAATAAAATATTTGACAACCTTGGCTTACTAATAAATTTGTATAATATAATAAATAACAATAAAAAAAACTCACAATTTGGTGGAGCACAGTCTGGTCCTAGCTATATAATAGGAAAAATTCACACACTCACACAGAAACTAATGGCAGATTAAAATATATAATAAAATAAGTGGCGATTAGTGCCTTGAACAATATAAATTAAAACGGCGATTCGCGCACGTAAAACTGTATGATAAATTTGGTGATTCGCGCCGACCGAAACAATATAATGCAAGATAAAATAGTTATATTATTATAAAGGTTATGGCGATTAGCGCCTCACAAAAAATATTAGGTATAATGTGTTGAATTACAAACGGCGATTAGCGCACGTTTAAATAGGTACCATTTACTTCAGTAGTACGGAACCTGTGTGGTTGCCTGGGCGGCCGTGTTAATATAATAATTATCGCGCAGACGGTATGGCGGCAGCGACGATCAGCTTATCCTACTTATATTCTGTAAATTACATAATTCACAAGACACGGTAATTAATACAAAAATAAAACAATACAAAAAGATAACAATTATACGTGACTGTGCGTGTGTGTGTGTGTCCAGCTATTATTCTAACATACATAATATATTGTTGCGCTGCAACATTCTCCCCCCCGGTGAAAACCTTAGATTTCAATTTTTTTCCGTTTCATAGACAGGCAATCGACAAAGCTTGATGACTGGCCGACGAATCTCAGTATTATTGGCCGTGCGTATGGTAACCACCCTTATTCTTCCATCATTCCCTGGATGAGTCTCGATTATTCGAGCGAGTTTCCACTTATAGCTGGTGGCATATTTCCGTCCTTTACAATAACTATGTCATCCACTGCCAGCTCTTTACTATTTGTTGTCCATTTGCCTCGAATTTGAAG